AGTCTGAACCATTTTGCTTTTTCCCGGCTTGGAAAAAAGCAAATTGGAAGTCTGAACCATTTTGCTTTTTCCCGGGTTGGGAAAAAGCAAATTCGAAGTCTGAACCATTTTGTTTTTTCCTGGCCCCGGAAAAAGCAAATTCGAAGTCTGAACCATTTTGCTTTTTCCCGGCCCGGGAAAAAGCAAATTGGAAGTCGGAGCAAACTGGCCTGACTGAGCCGTCTCTTGTTCATGGAGGGTTGTGCCCAACCAAAAACACACCAACATGAAAACTGCTTGGTTGGCTGGCTTCCTGTTCCTCAGCAATCAATGTGTCAGTGATCAGAGGACACAAGACGTGCCAGGGCAACTGCATGAATCCTTGAAAGCCTCTAGCCCCAACGAAAAACCATTTTCGCCGACAGTGGTAAAACCCCACGCGCGAAAGCTTGCGAAAGCTTCGCGAAGGTCCTGCGAAAGGCCTGGAAAAAATGAAATGACTTTTGAACAACCCCCACATGTACACGGAGCTGAAACACGGAGCTTCCCACATCCTTTGTTTATCCAGGCCATGCCATGGTCATTTCGTTTCAGCGCGTTGGCCGTTCTCCGGAAACGGGGTCAGCGCGGCCATTGCGAAAAAGGCCTACAAGGGAGATCTCTGCCACGAACAACATGGGAGGTGCAGGCAGATGGTCCAGGTGTTCTTTCAAGATGGTCCAGGTATATCGGTATATCAGTTCAGGAGATCAGTTCGCACATCTCTCTCGCTTGGCTCTCGCCGACTGAAACGGCCAACACCGCGACGTCTCACGTCTCACCGAGCGCCGGGGGAAACACCGACGACAGGTCCCACTCCCCGGACGATGGGGCCATGGCTTTTTGGTGGCGACTGGGCGACTGGAAGGCTTAGAGTGGCGGCTTAGGAAGGCTTAGGCGGAGAGTGCTCGTTGGTTTAAACAGGTTTTTAATGATGTGTTTCGTTTGTCAGTGTTTTTCCCTTGTCTTCTTTCCGCACGGTTGAACGGTTCATGCATGTTCATGTTCATGGCTCAAAAACCACATGTCGGCTATTGACGTATTGACACTTCAGATTGCATTTCACTTTCAATTTGCAATTGCATTTCAATACACTTCATGTTATTGCACTTCAATGCTGTATCGTGCATCCAGCGGATCTGTTTGGCTATACCCATCGCCCCCCAAGGCGATCGCGGAGCACGGAACCGCGGGAGCCAGGACGGGGGGGACCCCGCGACGGTGCGAAGCCACAGGTCGACGTGTTCCCAGAAGACACGACCTGTCTGGGACTGGACTGCCGAGTTTCACGGCCAGGGGTGGTTGAAGTCGGGGTCTGGCTGGGACTGGCAGTCCGGTGGTTGTCCAAACTGGCAGTCCCAGACAGGTCGTGTTTTCGGGATGTGAGAGAATCGCACGATGTGCTTGAAACAAGTCACCATCCAGGATCAGGGAGTCAAGGCTCAAATGAAGCCCCTTTCATGAAGCGAACCCTTCATCACCTCGGCGTCGCGAACGTGACGGTGACGGTGGCCGCGGTCGGTCCGTTGGATTCTCCGAGGACCGCGAGCCTGCTTGCGGTGTTTGAGCTCCTGATGCGTGAAGACCTGGATTTGGATTTATGTTGGATCCTGATTAGTAAATAGCCCCCCCCCTCCTCAAACAAACAGGGGACCCTCTATTGAGGACCTATTTACTAATCAGGCTCCAACATTGCTCAAGACAGTGTGGATTTGACACGAGACAGAGATGTCGACCGTAGCTGCGACCAGCTGTTGGAGGGACCGTCTCTGGACGTGGAAAACACGGGTGACGGAAAAAAAAACAAGGGCATCTGGTGGGGCCAGCACGTCTGCCCTCTTGATGATCTTGATGGGTGGCCAACATGTTTTGTTCTCCCAAGAGCTCTGCTCGTCCGTTTTCGGCCTCACAGATCGTTGGGTAGACCGGGGTTGGGTGGGCAGTGTGAAAGCGATGGAAGCAAATCGGATTCAAGACGTCTTTGTAGGTCCCTCAAACATCCTGAAGCATTTTTCGGTCGGACGCTACGAACCGGGGGTTTATGGCCTGAAAAACGAACGGAGCATGGAGGACGCTACGAATGGAGCAAGGACGCTACTAACCTGTGCCATCCGCGGGATGATGTCAACCTTCACCCTTCCCACTTGCTCATCCCTCTTTTCAGTCTGAGGGCCGTCGGCGTTTGAGCTCGCCTTGGCCGTCCCATCTTGGCCCCTTCGGTTGTACATACCACCAGCCAACGCATGCTGAGTCCGTATCCCCAGTGGTTGTCGACGTGCGAGTCGCTGGAGACCAGTCGGGTCCAAATCATCCCGCGGTTTCCAGACTCAAAGTCAGGTCTGAGAAGTCTGGAGTTGATTAGAATCATCTTAATTTTTGATCAGTCGGCCGCCTTGAACAGGATGTGATTGTTTACATCATTTTCTAAACAATTGTTATCATTAGTCCATTATAGTCGATAGTTTCTTGCAGCAGTGTCGAGTTATATATTCCAAGTGGAAGGAAGACCCCTTTCCGTTTCATTCGACGTCTCCCAGCGGCTCAGCGGCGCGGCTTGTCGGCATTTCCACAAGCCGGTCGATCGGCACGCGCCCCCGTTGTCTCACCGTCCGTGTTGTTCGGAAGAGAGGTGGACGCTTTCAAAGATCCCCTTAGAGCCATTTGCCGCCATTTGTCTCAACCGCACTGGAGACGGACAATACTGCTTGGAAAGACCTTGCACGGTGCACGGTAGTTTCTTGCAGATATTATCGTACTATGATCCACAGCACCATCATGGGCTACATCCTCTACTGTAGAGTTTTCCCGCCACGCGAAAAACGATTCAGGGACACAACGTCAGCAGCGCATGTTCGAGTTCCTTTGTTTCTCAAAGGGCCAGTTTTTTAGGTTGATGTAACTTGCCTTAGAAAACAGTCCCATTATCCCTTTCGCTCGCTCCCGAGCAACGCCTGTGGTCTGCGTCTGCGTCTGCTTCCTGCGGAACCTGGGAGCCTCTAATTCCGGTGCAAAAAGGAAGCAGATGCGTCTGGCTCCCCATCTCTGCGGCGGTCGGGCGAGTCCGCGCGGAGAGACGGAGAGACCACGGAGAGGTTGGGATGGGTGTCAAGGATGGAGCTCACGGGGCACGGATGGGCGGATGGCATGGGGTCGTTGTAACGCTTGGCAACTGAGTCTTGGTCTTGACTGGCGACTGAAAGTGCGGGACGTGATGAGAAGATGGCGAGGAAGATCGAGGCTTCACGGCCGATGGGCAACGACCTCGCTTCGGACGTCGCCGGAAAAGCCGCGCGGGGATCAGACCCGGCGAAGAGCCCCGCGCTCGCCGCGCTTGGACTTCGCGGAGGAGCAGCAGTTCGGGGTCCCGAGTGAAGGTGGCTGATGGACGGACCCAAGCAGAAAGAAAGGGATGGAACTCCCCAGTCACCATTTCTGTCGATTTCAAGCCATATTGGAACAAGCATTGGTTGTATGGGGGTCAAAGGTCCTTTGTTGGTGATGGCAGTGTCAGCACGAGTCCTTCCGCGGCTCGGTCCGCAGGAGCCGCGGTCCGCGTGGCGGTGGCTACTCGGTGCGTTCGCTCGGCTGAGGTTGGACCTGCTTTCGGGCCCACTGTTTCTTCTGGAGGTGCATCCTTTAGACACGGAGGATGGATGAGGATGGAGCATCGGAGCATCCAGACGAAGCATCAGCGACAGATCGAAAGAGGATCGCCGGACAGGTGAGTCGCATCCACGACCCCGTCGACGTCCATGCATCCATTGTTCAACAACCTAGTAGGCATGCAAGTAAAATACTGGGGCAATGGATGTTTCACGATGTTTTCTCAAGTCCCTTTCCGGATGGAGAACTTGTTTTTTTTTTCCATGTCCTGTTTCGTCTCGATCTTCCACTTCTTCCACCAGGATCTTCCATGTCTCGACTCGTGGTTTCCGGAGTGGTCGAGCCCTTCCCGTCGAGTGATCGACGAGCCATGCGGCGGAGTGGTGAAAGCCACCAGGAACCCTCCACAGCGCTCTGGATGATGGTCTCCTTGCCCTTCTTAGAAGGATCTAAGGGGCTTTCCAGGGAGTAATTCCTGAGCTGAGCTTGTAGGCACAGGGTGAACACGGCATGCTTGAGGGGATTGTGGATAGACTGACCCGGTCAGGGCATTCCGATATTGTACGATGCAAACTTTCTGCCTTCTGCCTGGTTCTGTGGATGAAAAGGCAAAGAATGTGTTGCGTTGGAAAGAAACAGGTATATGTTACGTACTATTTACCGATATTTGCAGAATATAGCCTGTTGGGTGAAAAGCCTATCACTCTTATCCAACAGTAACGATAGACTTCTCAAACCGAGCGAAGAACGACCCGTCGCCCCAAACCCTGCCCCGGTCGACCGGTTCCGTCCAGGTGCCTTCAGCGGGCCCAGAGGGGCTCCGCGACGACGGTGACGGAGGTGCGAAGGGAAGATCCGAAGCGGGTGGGGTCGAATGGAACGAACGGTTCGATGAATGGACAGATGTTAGCTGCTAGCTTTTTGACAAACAAGAGAGCACCAGAACCAGATAGCATGTGTTGAAGCACTTTTAACCTTGAAATCTGTCTCCGAATGTCACGTGATGTCTCTACAAGTCAAAAAGGATCACAAAACCATCGGCCACGAAAGAACTGATGACGCAGCGTGACGTCCAGGCCCACGACGCAAGCAAGTTGCCGATTCGGAAACATCGGGTGCGCCGGGGGCACTTGTGCAGTTCATTGCCCACCTGAGAGAGAGAGAGAGAGAGAGAGAGAGAGCCCTGAACCTGTGACATTCGTCTCCCACTTGGAAGCTGCCGTGTACAGCGACAGGTAGCGGCAGGGCCGTGAGTGCAGTGTTTGGCAGGTAGCGGCTGTTGGATGTTGCACAAATGGTTTGTTTCATGCCGATCTTCCGCAACTGCCACAGGGATTGGTTGTGTGACATGGTCTTTGTTGGAAGTCACATTCTGTGAAACACACCTCTCGGAGCTGACACTGAAACGCATCTTTTGAGTCTTTAGGTCCTGTTTGCTGGTCTTCACTTTGCATTTGCATTTTCTGACCCTTGCTCAAGTTGGTGCCTTGCACTAAAGTGTAACGCTTCCCGCGCTCACTGTACTCAACGTTGAGACGATACTACTCCAACTACTACCATCGACGACACTACGACTCCGGTCTCTACAGACTCGATGATCGAGTCTCGTCCGCATTCGTGGCGCATGGTGATCCGATGCGCGTCCGATGCGGTGTTCGGGTCGTTTGTTACTATAAGTGGTTTTCTTGCTACTATAGTCGATGGCCTCGGGCCCCTATAGTAGCCATGGCCTCCAACCTAGCTTCTTGTTCTTAGAAGATTCGAATTCGGGTAGCATGAGAACCCGCGAAACCTGATACAATATTGGTTGAGAAGCTGGGACAGTGTCGAGTGCAATTGGAGCGCCTCGTAGCTGGACAATGAATGACAAAGGACGACAAAGGACAAGGTTGGAGCGAGTGGATTCATGTTGATTTCAACCCAGCAATCGCTTCATTCAGGTTTGATGCTGATTGTGTCAAAGCTCTTAAGGCTTCTCGTTCAGGGGGTTCAGGGGAAGAAGATCCAGCACGACCTGTACCGGTAAACATCTAGTCGCCCAAGATGCGCGTTCGCGAGGAAGCACTCTATATGACTTGGGAGATCCTGGCTGCTGCCAAGCTGGAGATCGGCGTGTTCTTCCTGGCGGCTCTCCTTCACTTCTTGCTCTTCAGTAACCGCGCGCCGGTGAAACTGAGCTCCAAGGCGTGTTCCGCTCCACGACACCCCGTCGCGGTGGGATGGATAGAGAGTGATGGATTGAGATAGATCGAGGATGAACAAATCGATCACTGATGAGTGCATCAAAAAGACACACATTTGCCAATCTATGTCAATTCCCTGATAGTCCCTGATGTTTGTTGCAGCAACCATCCCAAACAATCTGGTTTTCTCGAAGAAGAAGCCGTCGGCAAGAAGGCCAAGTTGGATGTGGAGAAGTCTGAGAAGAACAATGAGAAGACGGCAGAAAAGACCACGATTGCACGCGCGTTGCGGCCGATGCTCCGTTCAGGACCATTTATATATGACATATATATGACATATGAAATACCTATGCCAATATACAATATGAATTCATATCATATATCCAAGAATTCCTGTTGTGACAGTGAAGGGAGTGCTGGCCGACCACAAGCAGAATGCTGGTGATGACCCAGTGTCTCCCACGCTCCACAGGAACCTCCAAGGCGACCTTCGAGGCCGAGCTGCGCGCGACCTTGACGAAGGTGCCGGCGAGCGAGCGGCAGAAGACGCTGGCCACCGCGCTGGAGAGTGGCTCGGAGCTGTTTGGGATACAACGAGTGGATCCACAGTTTGCTTGGCTCAGATGGGAGGGTTGAAGAATTCGGATCCACAGTTTATCCATATTTAGCCCTTTTTTAAAGTGTGTGGAACATTTTAATTTTATGCCTTCAAATTCTGTTCGTATTGTTTGAAGTGGGGAGGAAAGAACGATCAGGTGGGTTGTGGATAGGCTTCTGAGATACCGCCAGGTTATTGTTTGTGGATGTCCACTCTTTCTCCTTGTTTCCTCTGTCAACCGACAACCGCTGTTGAACGCAATGTTTAAGTCGACAGAGTGTCCAAAACACATAGTAGCGTCCGATCGCTCCGTTCGTAGTAAGGCCAGGAGCCCCGTTCGTAGCGTCCTTGCTCCTAATATGACAAACGCCCACAGTTCCCAAACCTTCGCCTCCTTGGATTGCATAGAACCTGCAACAAAACATCACTACCCCCGGAGCAAAGAAACGCACAAGGACCAAGAGCCCAAGAGCGCAAGCAACGCACACAAGCCCGGGCGAAGTACTACCTTTTCATTTCGATCAAATAAAATATATGGTCTAACTATTTATTATTTTAGTCGGACATCTTCGAACCCTTAAGATCCACACAGACTTCCAGCAAGTCGCTTGGTGCCAAAAGCCTCGACTTTCACTCTTCCACCCACTTTTCTTTTCCATCCATGGGGCACATCATATTCCCGACCAAGCAGACCAATAGGTCATCCAGTCTCAACCCAGGCCGGAGGACAATCGCTCGTAGCTTCCCCCGCGGTGTCTCCGAGGCTTAGGACGTCAAGTGGAGCCCGAGCTCCTCAGCGCCATGCGCTCCGTGACTGGAGCGGTCACCGAGCTGCGCCTGGCGGAGCAGCTGCTCCGGGGCGCCTTGGACACCACGACCTGACCACTGGGTTTCTGGGTCGCCCCCCAATGGCTTGCTTGGGTGAGGCGGACTGAAGGTCTCTTTGGCTTCTGGAGGTGTTTTTTGGGTCCAAACATGCGAAATATGTGATGTGTGGAGGAGGGGGGTGCAGTGGATGACCGGCACGGAGCTGCATGTTGAGGTGGGGTGAAGTTCTCAGCTGTTTGTTTTGCTTTGTGACCATGGGGGGAGGATCCGGTTTTATGACCTTCCACATATCACCTCTCAGGCTACTTGTCGGTGCGCAGCCGCACAGACTTTGAAGAGCTGCTGCGCGACGTGGAGAAGGCGCAGACGCAGAAAGGCGAGCTGCTGCCCAATGGCATCGCGGTTTTGGCGGTGCAGTTCGCCTTGGCAGGGGCCGCTGGGTCGTTTCCATCGGTTTTTGGATTGTCGTCCAGTCTGGTGGGCGGAGTCGTCGAGAGTCGGACGTTTGGTCTTTCGGTTGACGACGCGGTGGTGGAAGAAAGTTCAAAGCAGAGAGCCGCTTTTTGAGCCTTTTTCTAGCCTGCTTGGCTTAGCTGTGAGACATGGCAAGCAGAGAAGGAAAAGGGTGAAGACACCTGCAACCAGCCGCCGGGTTGGCGATCCTTTTGCAATCCTGCTCGATCCTCAGGAGAACTTGGAGGCTGCGTTGGCACGCCTTCCAGGCATTGCCGGTGAAGCACGCACCACGAACGGAAGCACGAAGTCCAATTGGGAGTTTCCAGGCAGAACATATAGGCCGCAAAAAGAACAGGTGCTGAACCCAGCGAAAGAACGCGAAGATCCACCTGATGGGACTTATGTGTGCCAACATGACACGTTGAAAGAAACAGAATACACCCCAACATTGGAACTCCTGCATGGTTTGATTTTTCTTCGGTTTTTACACCCAAACGCGGATTTGACCGCTGGGAACGCTCAGAACTCCGTCGAAGTGGAACTGAGCAGGGTGCGTTGGTGCACAAGCACCAAGGTGCGGTCGTAAGGCGTTGACTCGGCGGTTCGGCGCAAGGTTGTTGGACAAGGTGATGACCGAGTTTTTGCCTTTGATCGACGACCCCCACGCGATCCACGTGTGCTTCCACCGCATCCTCGATACGCTGGTGAAGAGCGATTCCACACACGCTTGGGAGGTTCTGAAGCGGATGGAGGCGGCCAAGGTGCCTCCAAACAATGTGACCTGTTCCATCCTGCTGAAAGGCGTTCACAAAGAGATGAAGGACGGAAGAACCAGACTGACATGGGACAAAACTCAACACAAGAACCAGACCTGGACGTCCGTCATAGTCGTGGAGATCTCTCAATGCTGGTGTTGTGGTTGACGTATGTTGACCTATTTTCTGCAAAAGCGGATTGTAGGGGTAAAAGCGGACAAAAGGTCGGCATCAGCTTTTATTGTTGGTCATGATGACGCGCTACGAAGTATACTCATGGAACTTCTGAAGACGTTCCGCCGAAGTGAAGCGGGACGGTTCTTTCCCAAACACTCCATGTATGGCATATATGCCTACATTGGGGTGGTTCGGGGGTCAATGTAGGCATATATGGCCTGCATCGACGCGTTTTTCAGGAGGACTACTTGAAGAAAGTCATGGCAGTCATTGACAACCGAGCGGTCAAGGAGATGGATGAGGTGCTCTTGGGCTCCCTCTACGAGGCTTGCATTCGATGTGGCCAGGCCCGGTGGGCTTCAAACCGGAGTGTCACAACAGGCAGCAACCGATCGATCCGGCGAGCGGGTCCCTTCGAGGTGAAGAAGCTGCTGAACTACGTGCAGAAGCTCCGCGAGGAGAGTGGATTGGTCACCATTCGCAGCGCTCACACCGTAGGATCCATCATCCGTGCCCATGGAGTCAATGAGGACGACGGGGAATCTGGGGGATCGGGGGAGCTTAGGCTTAGGCGAGCCTTGTCCCAACGACCCGCCGGCCGTTCCGGAGCATGTTCCCAACAAAACAGCCAGTGCGTGGTGTTTTGAGAGTCCATGGACCAATCTGGAGGGCACCATGGGGGCTCAAGGGAGGAAGTGAGAGATGAAGGGCAAAAAGGCAGACGGGAATCCCGTCGATGACTGGTGCGGTTGTGATGTCATGTTCATGGCGAAGAGAGTTAGCTGTGTCCTAAAATGTCATGGTCGTTATAGCTATTGAGTTCAGACATGTTCAGACATGCACGTGGACTTTGTTCGGTGTCCGATATATGCAGAATGAACACGCTGCTCTTCTCCTTTTGTGCAGGACCTGGACGGTGTTTGGACCACTTGGAACAACATGAAATCACAGGGAGTGGTGCCCAGCCGGATTACTCTTGGATGCATGGTCGAAGCATTGGCTTCCAACAACGATGCTGATGGTGCCTTGGAATGCCACTCTAGAATGGTCCAAGCTTCGCTTCGCTTCGCTTTCACTGCAGGCTTTCCTTCGTTTCACTTGGCCGGTTTGCCAACTGCGTGTCTTGTGTCTTCTGCGCGAGGTGCGTATGAGGTGATTCAAGAGGCGCTGGCCGATCCGCAGACCGCGAACTTGGTGAATGCTGTAACCTATTCCTCAGTGCTGAAGAGCTTCAACCACCAGAAACGCTTCCACCGAGTCTGGGATCCTTGGACCGATCTGGGATCTGTGTCCTATCCACTCGTTCCAGTCGTCGGGACAACCCGAAACCGATTTCGACATGAAAGGCATAGAGCCGCAGCATTCTTGAAGGAAACAAAACGAATAGCTCAGCGCTTGAGACTTTGCGGCCTTTGCGGCTTTTGCGGCCTTCGGCCTTCTTTCTTTCTCCTTTTTTTCGGTTGTTCTTTCGCCTTCTTCTCCTCCTTTCTCAGGACGTTTATGACGAGATGATCCGCCAGAAGGTGGAGTTCTCCGTGACGACCTACAATGCTTTGCTGGACGTGTGCGCTCGCAGCGGAGAGATCGCCCGTGCCGAGCCCCTTCTGAAGGACATGGCCCAGCAAGGCGCCCCGTAAAGCGGGGAGTTCCGTGGGGAGGCGGAGGTTTTGGTCTCTATGCCGGGACGAGACTGATCTATTTCGTTAAAGGAGACACTGTCGAACGAACAGTGTCACTGAGAGATGTCGCAGAATCTGCCATGTTTCTCGGGCAATGACGTCATTATTTAGACTTTTTGGCGAGACCCTCATATCTGATCTACCATCTAATGAGTCATAGTCCACCATGATCGTCCAGTCTCGCTCCAGTCGTCGCAAAATCCTCATCCGTCGCATTTCCACTCTCTTCGCTCTCTGAGAGAGGTATCTCACCCAACATCATCACTTACGGGACCGTGATCAAGGCCTATTGCTCCGCGAATCGCTTGGACCAGGCCTTCGCCGTTCTCTCCGACGCTTCGCTTCAGAACATGTCAGAACACACATCCACCCCAAGAGGGCCGTGCGCCATCGGTTTGCCACGCCGGACTGGTCCTATCGGTCCTTTGCTTTCCGAGCTCGGGCGGTCCATCGGTGCGTACGGCCGTAGCGGCGCGCTGAGGAGATGCAGGCGAATACCGATCTTCACCCCGATGAAGTGACGTACAACACACTCCTGGACGGCTGCGCACGGTATGGCCTCTTTGATCGTGGGCTGGAAGTGCTAGCAGAGACTTGGAGAGATCGTAGTGCTCGCACGTTCCTTTCATGCTCTTTGAGCATGTTTGTGAAGCAAGATTGATCAAACATGCCATGTACTTCGTTGCGAAACAGTGGTGCAACAGCCATGTAACTCTTGAATCAATGCACCAGCCATTCTATCTCAGTTGTTTCACCGCACCAAACGGTAAAGCTACGGTAAGCTTCGGTCTCCAATGTTTGCCCCAAAACGCTTCGATCCTCGAAGGACATGAGGAGAGCTGGCGTTGCACCGAGCAATTACACCTTGTCGGTGATCGCCAAGTTGGCCAATCGAAGCAAGAAGCCCAAGATGGCCTTTGAAATGGTGGAGGATTTGCGTCTTTCGACAAAGACAAACCGGTTTTTGGTGCTCTTTTGGTTGATCAGTCTACTTTCAGTCTACTTTAGGTGGAAATTGAACCAGTTCGATGATTCATCCGCCAGCATGGGAAGGATTTTTTTAGGTTCTAGTTCTCGCAGGTCTTTGGACGATCAATTTGGGTGCCGCTAGTGGTGCCGCTGTCTCATGAGCTGTGGCGGTCTGAGTCTGATCTGTACCAAGGCAATGAGTTTGGAATCAAGCTCAACATGCACGTCCCTGGGCCTCGATTCAGTGCATGAATTTGCCTGATGTGTTCTGCTTGAAAAATGGACCCCGGATCTGGGGCAGGGCCTTCCGTTTTGCACGAAGGCCCTTGGGTTGTTGAAGCCGCTGCTTTGCACGCTCAACCCAGAAATCATCACCAATCTAAACGTCAGCTAAAAGAATTGTACCCAACAAACAATCCAACACATCCAGACGGTGAACTCTTGTGCTTGCGGACACATCCAGACCAGTACAGTGTTTGAGGTCTACAACAATCTCATCCATGCTGCGACCTGTGACAATGACATGGCCAAAGCACAGGAGACCTTTGCCGCCTGGCAAGCGTGGCCGTTCCACTCGCTGCTTCGTTCGCTCTCGGAAGCGTAGATCCTACCGGAGGGGTTGGGTATTGGAAGGGATCCAACATGATCATCATGATCCAACCAATCATTGCTTCCACCCAAACTCCGGTGCGATGGCATTCCGCTTCCACCTGGTCCGCCCGGAACGAGACAGACCGAACGAAGAAGCGGCGGTGGGTCGGGTCATCCGTCATCCCTCGGCCAAGACGTGGGGGTTTCGTTTCAGCCGTAACTAATGGAGCAAGAAGCTATTAGGAACAAGTGCATTGCTTCTAGTAACAAGTGCCTTACTAGTAGTAACAAGAAGCTATTAGAAGCTATTAGGAACAAGTCGTGATGTCTTTGAAGCTTCTTAAGTTGAAAAGCCCGCTTTGATTTGTGCTTCTGGAGCTGCCTGTTGAGGTCCACTACGGTGGATCTCACAGTAAGAATAAAGCGTTCCCCTAGAAGTCCAAAGACAATTTCTGGACCGGCTGAAGTAAAGGATATTCCTTTTCGGGTCACCTAGAGACCATTCTTTATCTAGTCTTTGACTCTCAGGGTTTCTAGTTTAAACTATAGAAGCTACCTCCTTTCGTTCCCCGAAGACCTCGAGGCGACGATGCTGGGCCACAGGGTGCGGCCCGACGGGAGCCACGGCGAAGATCGTGGATGTCGGACCAGACACGACTGATGGGGCCAAACGCTGGCAAGCTTGAGTTACAACATGTTACAACAGTCATAGATGGGACTGAGAAACGGCGCTAGAAGAGTGATGTGACCTGGTCAACTTTCCACCTAATAAGGAGATCCTACACTTTGCTCCTGCGATTCTGCGTCACCCGCAAGTCGCACGTGCCAGCGGTGGCCCTGTTGCGTACAGCCATCGGTTTGCAGACCGACTCGCTGCAGACCGAGTCCTTGCACCCAGCGCTGTGCAAGGCCGGAAGCTAGCGGCGACCGTCGCCTCTCCCGGGTCCAACGGATGTTCCACTTGGATTTCGTTGGGGCCCAAAACGGAGGAGTTTCGAACAACGAGCGAGCGAGCGAAATGAACATCAACGAGAATATCTGAGCACTGCTTAGCAGTTCGGTTTTCTAACTTCAGGTTCTTATGACGTCGATCTCCTGGGCCAGCGCACCCTTGCGTGGCAACAGCGCCTTGCAAGAGGAGGCGTCCGACGCGAAGAGCGGCCAACACGCTGGCAAGCTTGAGTTACCACAGTTGCAAGTAGTTATGGGATGCTACGGGCAAGCCCCGACATAGTCATTGATTCATATCTGAATAATTCATTCGTTTGCGGGGACCATATATCAACGCCTTCCTAGCTGCTAGACATGGAAATACACGCCTACCTTTTTGGTATTTGTCAATAATTCGTGATTTCGATGTTCCTGGTCCTTTTGGAGGATGCCTGTCGGGTCTGGAGCCGCCTGCTCGTGACGCACACCGCGGTCGCCTCGAATAGGCACCCGCGGGGTGCGAGAGCGCAGGTGATCCACGACGTCTTGGACTTCCTGTCGCGAAACCAAAGCGCCTTGAGATCTGATTTCTGCAGTTTGCCACAGCTCACGGCAGAGGTGCAGAAGGCGGTGCCATCGCTGAAGCTGCCGAAATCCACCAGTAACAGGATCTTCAGCTAGGACATACACCAGTGGCCAAGGCTGAGCCCCTCTCGCTTGGATGTAAACTTATGAGGAGGATAGAATCTGTGGGTGTTTGTGTGGAGATGGTTGTTCCATGCGTTTCTAATTTCAAGGGAGGGCAGGCAGAGCCAGTGGCGCCTCGCTTGCTGCGCACAACAGATGCGCACGTCACGACTCGACCACCTGAAGCGACAGTTCGGAGGTTTGAGTTCGCAATTCACGTCGAGGCACCGACCCAAAAAGGCCGCGAGACGATGTACCGACCGGTGAAGCTCGGTGCTCTCATCATCTGAGTGGAGGACATATAAGATATTATATACCAGGACCCTCCAAGGGGTCCAATGGACTACCCCACACTACCTATAGGCTTCCATTGGGCACCCCTTGGAGGGTCCAGGTAATAGATCATATATATCACATGCATATATATATATATATAGTCTCACATGGATTGCTTAGTCGACCGACCAGTGGGGTGTTGACATTAGTCGACATTCATGAGTGCCTTCTTTCGTGATGCATCTTCAGATGAGTGCTGCCAGGTACGGCAACCCAAACTCAGTTCTTCAAACAGTCCAAAGAAGGCGGGGTTTTTGCTGCGGAGACCGGACCCCCGGTCGGACCGAGACCTGGGTTTGGACAACGAACGGACAAACAGTCACGCCTTCGAGCTTCTCACCTCCGGCGACGTCCGAGGCTGAGACCATGGCTCAACCTCCACCTCCCAGGCCCTCAGGCGGAGACGAGACGACGAGAGTGAGACGAGAATTCGTCGAGAGATTCGTGAGATGAGAAGGTTCATCGTCCCCACTTTTGATCCATCCTCTGTAGCATCCTTTAGCTAGGTGAGAGTCTGAGTTGGAGAAAAACATCGTCGCAAATCCGCAGTTGTTGGTTTAGCGGATGTGGAGTTCACCGGAAACTGAGTGTTGGAGTGATGGAGTTCGAACAGTCCAACGTTCTGCCACTCGTCCCTTCAGTGGCGAGCGAGCGAGCGAGCGTGCTCGCCGTGCTCCGAACCACACCACCTTTTCGATCCATCACCACCTACCGTGGGTAGGTTACTTCGAAAAGAAGGGCGAGGTCCACGAGCTACGGCAACTTCTCAGAGGCGAAGAGACGGGTCGACTCGACCCGGCGGTTGACCGCACCGGCGGTTGACCGCACCGGGCCGAAGCCCGTGCTGTTCGGGTGGTCTGGACCGAGAGACGCCAGTCGAGATCAGGTGCCTCCGCAGAACGAGATCAGCAGAAAAAGAGAGATGCCATCAAGAAGGCTGCGGGCAAAAGCAAACCGAACTGAGAAGGCTGCAGCGAGAAAGCAAACGTCAGACAAACTGCATGTAGAGGTTCATTCTTCTCCGTGTTTCAGTGTGCCTTTAATTATAAAGGAAGATATACCGAGACCATCCGGATGACCTGCAAATATGTGTTTAACAAAAACATGAAGCAGAAACGGATGCTCCCCTCACCTTTCTCGCGCTTTTCCTTGCGCGACCACACGCCATGTGCGCGATGGCAGCGCACATCCCATCCGCCCATCCGCCCATCCGCCCATCGCCAGGTCATTGCCTACATGACTTTGGGCATCGATGTGTCACCTCTCTTCAGCGAGATGGTCATGGCCGGACGGCTGGGTCGGTCGCTGTGACCGGTCAACGGCGATGGCCGTGTGCGGACAACTCCCCACCAACTGAGGGGGGGCAACGAGTCCCTTGTGCTTACGAACACGACTATAGAAGCTCATTGAACTTGGAGCTTTGAGAGAGTTCAGAAAACCTTCGAGCTTTTGATTGCATGCAACGTCCATCTCCACCTATTTTGAAGGGCATTGATTGGTTTGCGTTTCTTCAATGAATGGACTCTTTTCAGTTAACAACGAAGTATACTTAATGGTTACTTCTTTCGGCGCTGGCAGGCAAGTGCCACGACAGATCTGGTGCAAAAGAAGATGGCGCCTTGGCAGGGAATGCCTTTTGAGTTTCGGCCGAACTCGCCTACGATGGCATCTTTGTCGATCTGCCAGCACGCAGCACGTGTCGCTGGAGTTTTTAATGCAAGATCGCTGGATCGCAGGAGTACCCCTGACATACTACGTTTCGCTTGCAGCCACAATTCATTTTTATTTCATACACACAACACAGAAAGAACACGCTATAATCCGCTATAAGCTTCAACCACGTATTACTAGTATAGGGTCCCTAGAAGTCGAACCACCATTGTTTTAATAGCCTGAATCCGGAACAACCATTGTTTCACTAAGGGTTTTACACTACAAAACCAGATCAAAAATGGTCTTTAAAATGGTCGACTTGACTTCCAGGATAGTGTCCCGCCTGTTCCTGGGAGCGAGAACCCATGCGGTGGACCGAACGAAGCACAGGTGCTTCTTTTCCAAAACGGTCGAACCCCGGTCGCTGTCGTCCACCGGTTGGACGTATAGACTCGAGTCACGTCACGTCACCCTAAGAGCGATGGGTGACCTGCCTAGAAGAGAGGTGTAAGCCTCCCAGTCCGTTCGTGATCCGGGATCGAGGTGTATTTGTATTTGGTGAACTACGCAGAGAGCAACTCGGACTTGGCGATCCTCGCCATCAACACGCTCCAGAAGGCGGGTGGGCCCCTGGTCGCGGTCGCGATGGTCGACACGACCAAGAGCTTCTCATGAAGGTTCCCTTTTAATTGTTCACAACTCGAATTCAGCCATTTCGGGTTCAGCTCAAGATCCAATCAACATCGAATATCATCGAATGCAAGGTCGAAGCTCACAGTGGATCCGCACTTTGGACATGATCAAAAACGGAACAACCATTGAAAACGAAGCAAAATGGACACATGTTACTTTTCATTGTTGGTTTCTTCTTTGTCTCTCCTTCATCGCTCGTCTCCACTCTTTCGCCCAGGACTGTCGGGACGACGATCCCATGATCCGAGGCTTGGCACTGCGCTCCCTGTGCAGCTTGGACGTTTAGCGGCACCGGTGAAGAAACGCCGGTGGAAGAGTTGGTGGATGTCCGAGAGAAAAGTACAGCTTCAAAGGGGTGTCCGGTCTGGAGATCCCGGATGGTAGTGTAGGGGCTTCCATTGGTGACCCCTTTGAAGGTGCTGGAGTACGACAATTGATGTGGAAGTTTCAGTGTTGTCTTCGTTAGATGGTGTTTAGTGGATTAAGAAACCGGACTGGATGTTTCTGGTGAGTCCTCAAACACAAATCTTTGGGACACATGTTTGTTTGTCCATGGGGGGGACTACTAAACCACAGCATGAGCACTGGATGGAGATGGTTTCATCCGCTTCAAAAGGTATTCACGGGCATCAAATGGCAGCGGTTCATGGCTTGTGCAGAGGCTACAACCCGTTTGACCCGTGTTTTGACAGGAACACATACCAGATTTGGTGCGTTTGGTGGTGCAAGATAGAGGTCACGCACGGTCACGCAGGTTTCCCCTATATTTATGAGCTGTCTGAGTTGTATAGTCTTCAATCCAGGAAGCCCATTCGGGAACGAACTGACTCAAGTAGTCCTGACTTGTCCGCCGTGGAGTGCCGCCGTTCTTGGTGCCGTGATCCAAGGCTCCTTGAGCTTAGCCAACATGGTTGAGTGCCCCGGTGTGTTGGTCACATGCTCGTCCCGGTCGCTGGCGGAAGGAAACGTCCACCGTCGGTTCAAGGACTCAAAAAGGCTCAAGGCATTGGAAGCCTTGTAGTTCTCTCCTAGTTCAGATGCTTCAGTTCGCCCCAGCTTTGAAGTAGGTTATAAGCTGTCGAACTCAAAGCAGGTCAGACTCAGCTGTTCACTGCCATCCCATCTTCTCCGGATGTCACTGGTTCATCCGTAAGAGGTATCTCCAGCCCGCGGTGCAGCGTGCCTTAGAGGACACCGGTTGGAAGCACGTTGGTTTTCATCAAACGGACGCCAACTTGGTGCAGTTCAACAGCAGCAACTAGAAACACTCTGAAGGAGTCACCAGCAGCAACAGCAACAGTATGTCGAGCACCTTCATGTCGAGGTCACCTGGCTCTTCCAGCCCCAGCCCACTAAGGGACCTCCCCAGACAGGACACCGCTTGAAGGTCCTGGTAGATGTATGTCACACGTTGTGATCACTTTGTGACCTCGCCAGGGGTGCCGCGCGCGCGGGGACTGTCCCGAGGGGATCCGACGGGGGATCCGGATCCAGGATGTCAATGGCTATGTTCGGAAAACCGCGGTCATAGGGGTTTCGGCCTAAGTGTTCTGCTGAATTTCCGCACGATAGTGTACGGCAAAGTGCAGCAGAGAGAGAGAGAGAGTACACTGTCAGCCACTCTTGCCGCACTTGCTAAGGTGGTGAAGATTTTCTATATCAACCCATCAGTAGCTGCTTGTCTGCACTTTCAGGCGAAGCTAAGGTGTGACACATGTCCGTCCATTTCATGACCATTCCTGACAAACGGTGCTTTCTGAAAACGGTAAAAACCATGGAAACGGCGTGCGTATCACGCGTTTCACGTTCAGACTGTTCATGTCAACAGACCGTTCGATGTCTCAACCTCCAGGTGACCGAGACAGAGCTGTTGCCGTCTCTGAAGCGGCTCCGAGACGCAAGGGACACCGGGAGACGAGCCGGGCGAGACGGAGGGTCTGGGGTCGGTCTTGGAGACTCAGGGCGAAGGCTTTGAACAGGTGGTGGGAGAGTCCGTGTGTTTCTCGTTGGGGCAATTGAAGTGTCAAACAAAGAAGACCAACAAAAACACTAATATACAAAATCTCTTTAAATCTTAAGTGTCCGGCGCTTTTCCCAGCCCTTTTTAACGCTTTTTCGGCTTCGTCTCCCAGGCTGGTGAATGATAACGATGCGCACGTGGTGTCCAACACCATCTCTGCACTGGAGGAGGTGATGTGTTCAGTGTTCAGTTGGTGATCTCCAGGGTCTTCGCAATTGTTCAGTACCAAGTCAACCAGTCATCCCTTGTGGAACAAGTACAGGATGAAAGCATGGAAAGCATGGGACAACAGTACCAAGATCTGACCAAGAATGGAGTAACAATCAGATCTTGGTCGGCATCTTGGTCAGGTCCTTGCCAGTGAGGGCGGATACATGCCAAGCGAGGAAGTGGTGTGGCTGGCATCCTTCTGATGTTGACATGTTGAAGTGTACGCCTGCCGAACATTTAACAATGGAGTTTCTAAACTGCATTCCCAAGTATTGGAAACTTTGACCAAGCTCCAAAGCCTTGGAGCACTTTTTCAAGTGATCTGAGTGTTGGAACCCCTAGATCAGATATGCAAGCTGCACCTCTTTCGGGGCCAGATCACCGCCCTGCTCAATCGCATCATGCATTTCTCCGAGTGGGGTCAGTGTGCCATTTTGCGGCTGCTGACCAAGTGCCCCACGCGCGGCGTGGGCCGCGCTCCCTCCGTCCCATGCTGGACTCAAAGCGCCGGAGCGGAGCCGAAGCCGCCGTCAAATCGACAAGAAGAGCTCATCCAAAGGCAGACATCAGTTGAAGCAGACAGATGTCATCCAAATACAACAACAATTCAACTAAATACAGCTATATGTTTGAAGAAATGTTCTTCATCCAAATACAGCTATATGTTTGAAGAACCGAATTGAGTGAAGACTTGCATCACGACTCGGGTGCCGGACTGTGACGAGGTCGCTGTTGGCGAGCCCCGAAACGAGGCATATATGTGTTGCTTAAAGCATCGAGTCGAAGTAGTCGGAACGACCAGGTATAGTGTTGCCAACGAAGGAGAGATGTTCGATATCATGAACATCTTAGACGGCGAGGGGCTCAGAAAGCAGACCGAGACTCGACCCGTTCGCGAGGCACGAAGTAGTCGCGAGAACGAACCCGGACGCGACGAGCTCGAACGCATCGCGTAGCGAACGGTCACATGGTAGGGCTGTGCGTTCGTCGGCCGGTGACGGTTCAGACCGTGGGTTCTCACGTGGTCTGGGAAGGTCGTGGATGTGTATGACGTTCTGACTGCCTTAATTGATCCCTATATAAGATTAGCTTTGCCACGGGTGCGATGGTTTAAATGGAATGGTTTGAACACGCTTCTTTTTAAGTGTTTGATAGGTGAAAGCAGAGAAACTCATCATTTAAGTTTGGACTCAACATGCTTTCTTTTGATGCCCCCCTCAATGCAAAAACCCACCAACGTGACTTCACTCGTGACGCCCAGACTTGCTGAAGCAGTCGAGTAGCGCGGTGGTTTTGTCAGTGACCAAGGCTGGAGTTGGTCGAAGTTTGTCTAAACCCAGTTGGGGTGGTTTGAGGGGTCAATGGGGCGGCATATATGGCAGTCCCATGGAGTGTCTGGGAAAGAGGTTTCGAACGAAAAAGCGGGTCGACTGTGATGAACTCATGGTGGATCAGCTTCTTTCACTTGAACTGACCCTTTTTCATGGTTCTCAAGAAGGCGCCGCTTTTTCCCCTCACTGTCAATGACAGAGTTGTTCTACTGGAAGGATGCATGTATAGACACCCCCCTCGCTCGCAACCACATGATGGGTCCCGTCCGCTCGTCCCAATCCAGTCGACCAGTCATGCCGTTTTCTTCATCGCTCGGTGTTTAGATTCGACCACCTGTGACTATCCCAGACACGACCCGTCTGGGACTGCCAGTTTGGACTGCCGCCCTAGCCAGACCCCCTCTGGCACCACCCCTGGCTGTGAAACTCGGCAGTCCCAGACAGGTTGTGTCTGGGTTGGTCTAATTAGACCAACTCCGACAGTCGCCTGTCGACCGACCGTGACCGGGCGCCTGTCGACCACGGCCCGCGCAGATCTTCGTGGACCTCACGAGCAACCGGCCGGACATCCAGCAGGACGTGCTTCAGAGACTGAAGGCGAAGACGACCGGAGAGGAAGAGAGCGCGAGAGCGCGGACATGCGGAGAGCGCGGATTCGGGAGGATTCGTTCGAGAACGGCCCAGAGCTGACGTTACGAACAACAAAAAAAACAAAAAAACACAAAAAAACTTAAAAAACAAAATCACAACTCACAAGTTGTGTAGAAGTTGTGTAGAAGTGGAACAACATGATGGCAAGAAGCCGTCGTAGGAGCGGCTTCGCTCCGCGCACGCGAATACTCGCTGGCAGGGCCCATTGCTGACCCTGATGGCTGCTGCCAGCACGGAGCTTGCATATACTGTTTGGGGCGCCAAGCATGTGAGTCGCACGTGAGTCACCAAAATCCTTCAATCTCGTCGCCGCCTACGTATTTAACTGAGTTGTTTGCAAGATCACCTCCTTCCTTCACCAAGAGAACGATACACTTCATGCAGTTGGCTTCAGCGTCGTGTGTCGTGTGGGGAAACCGAATTCTTCAGACCGACCGACCTCGTGAGATGCGTTGCGCACCTCGCGGCGCGAGCCCGCGAGGTCTTGGTCCACATCCATGCCCTCCTGGGTCGAGGGCCCCGCACAGTGGAAGCCCAGCACTTGGTGCATGTGTGAACGATTGGCGACACGAAGTGAGATCGGGTGGAGAAGTGGAGCGCGTTGCATGAAGAGGATCGTTAAAGAAGAGATGTTCATCCGGAAGATGGAAGAACACAGGATAAAATATGGGAAATTACATGAAGTGACGTTTTTTTGGAGCAGATGGATGAAAATGAGGAACGTCCTATGCAATGTAAATCTTCACCCCATGCTTTGCAAGTTGAGCTTTTCCATTCTCCAGTTGAACCATGCGAAGGAATTGTTCAAGGGTGTTGTTTGTCAACCTGTTGCTGTCAGTGAGGTGGGCTCTAACCACCTCTTGGTCCGTGAAGCCGCAAGTGCAACTCTTCCTGCGCTCCGCGCTCGCGCTCCGCGCTCGCGTCCTCCGGTGTCGCCATGGCATCCATCACCCGAGAGGAAGTTCAGAAGCACAACAAGGCGGATGATGCCTGGATCATCGTTGACGGAGACGTGTCACCTGGCGTAGTTTGGCAGAGAGACGGACACGGCCGCGTGTTCGCAAGGGTTTCCGCTTCTTCGAAGCGGAAGACCTACCCCACTGAAAACGAACCTGAAAACCATTGGTTTGTAGAGGAAAACAGTCTTTCAGGGTGCCATTCTCAGGGTCTATGTGAGTTTTCAGGAGTGTAAGTCTATATTGCATGGTATAGGGACTCAATCCACGCGTCGTTCAGACCGCTTCGGGGGAGGGGGGCGGACCACCGGGTCGCTGCAGGTATGACGTGACGAAGTTTGCAGGGGTCCACCCCGGCGGCACGCAGATCCTCTTGGAGTACGCTGGAAAGGATGCCACTGAGGACTTCTATGCCTTGCACAGGCGACCCATCGGAGTTGTTCGGGCCCGGGGGAGATCTGGCGACGCCGGTTGGTCGATGCGGTTCCAACGGAGACGAACCGACCGCCCTCGTCGTTCGAACGGCGCGGTCGTTTCGTGCCCCGCGGGTCAGGATCGGACTCGATCGGATCGGATCGCGCTGTGAGGCTGGAAGTGCTGGACAAGTACCAGCGCTTGAAGAAGGGTCGTCTCGCAGATGCCAAGGGCCCACCACCCAAGAAGGCCAGGCATCGATGCGGTCTTTTGTTGGAGGAGTTGGACGGCGGCATTTCGGCAAGGAATCGAAACGGACTTTGGGAGTCCGTGACGATGGCGCCCAAACACCGGTTCCACCCTCCAGAGTTGCTTCAACATCGTCACATCGTTTCCCTAACTCGGTCCCCCCCTCCGAGGCCGCCGAGGTGATGCAGGAGTTCAGCAAAGTGCCCTTCGCGGAGCCGACGTGGCTCGGACCGAGCAGCTTCTGGGCCTGGGAACAAGTGCATCGCTACTAGTAACAAGAAGCTAGTAGGAACAAGTGCATCGCTAGTAGTAACAAGTGCCTTACTAGTAGTAACAAGAAGCTAGTAGGAA